ATCCATCCAACCTTCATCCATCCATCCATCCATCCATCCATCCATCCATCCATCCATCTATCCATCCATCCATCCAACCTTCATCCATCCATCCATCCATCCATCCATCCAACCTTCATCCATCCATCCATCCATCCATCCATCCATCCCTCCTTCTCTCTCTCCAGGTCTACTATGTGGAGAACATCAATGCAGGACGAGTTGACAGAGATCAGGAGCTTCCAGAGGTAACAGAGCTGATGATGATGATTACGATGATGATGATGATGATGATGATGATTACGATGATGATGATGATGATGATGATTACGATGATGATGATGATGATGATGAAGGTGTGTATCAGGTGTCTCTGGCTGAGCGCAGCAGAGCAGATCTGGAGTCTCTGGTGGAGAAACTGAAGGCAGCTGCTGAAGGTGAGTTTCTGCTGCCAGGTAACCAGGTAACCAGGTAACCAGGAAGTGACCTGGTTAGTACATGTCCCCCTGCAGGTCTTCAGCAGGACATGGAGGACAGGACGCTGTCCCATCCCGTCCTCCAGGAAGAACTGTCTGACCCAAAGAACGGAGGCTCCGCCCACAAACACCTGAAGCAACAGGTGAGGGCAGACACCAGTGGAGACGAACCAATCGATGAGCCGGTCGCCTCTGAGGGGGTGGAGCCTGTCTGACAGCCAGGTGTGTTCAGGCCTCCCTCCTAGGTCATCTGCAGGAGCTGGGTCTGCTCAGCAGGGGGCGCTGCTTTGTGGAATTCGGCGCTGGCCGGGGAAAGCTGTCCCACTGGATCCACCGGGCCCTGCAGAACCCTGAGGGTCAGGGGGTCACCATGGAAACCAGCCAGGACCTCCAGCTGCTGCTGGTGGAGCGCTGCAGCACCCGCTTCAAGGTAGGAGAACCAGGGAACCAGAACCGGTCCGGATCAGATAAATATTGATATAAATCCATGAAACCGACCAGAACTAGAACTGGACCCGCCCCTCTCACCTTTTCCCTTCTTCAGGTGGACGGGAAGCACCAGGGTTCTGCAGACCCATTTGAGCGGCTACGGGTGGACATTCAGCACCTGGACTTGAGTAAGACCCGGCATCTTCTGAAGCTCTGCATTGCTGGTGCTGACCCAGTTCTGACCCAGTTTTATGCAGGTAAAGTTCCAGTGCTGAGGGAGAAAGCGCTGCCGTTGGTGGGAGTCGGGAAGCATCTCTGCGGAGCAGCAACAGGTGAGAGCTGCAGGTCCAATTCAGCTGCTAGATCCTGGTTCTGGTTCTGGTTCTGCCCCCAGATCTGGCCCTGCGCTGCCTACTAGACACGGCTGGAGCCCGACCAGACACCCAGCCACTTCCCAAGCGCCTCAGAGGGCCAGAGCCTGGCTCTGGTACTGGTCCGGTTCTGGGCCTGGCCGTGGCGTTATGCTGCCACCACCGCTGTGAGTGGCGTCACTACGTGGGTCAGCAGTTCTTCCTCCAGAGAGGACTCGGACCCACCGAGTTCTCCGCCTTCTGCCGCATGTCCAGCTGGGCCACCTGCGGCCCACCGGCCAATCACAGCAGAGCAGCCAGTCAGAGCGGAGCGGCCAATCAGAGCGGAGCGGCTGAAGATCATGAAGAAGTGGAGCGGCTGGCGGCACTGAGCAGGTAAAGCTTTCATTTCTGCTGGAGGCTCTGGAGCAGCAGTACCTCCTGGTACTGATCCATCCTCCTGTGGTTCTCCAGGTTCTGGTCGGCAGCAGAGCGGGAGCATCTGGGTCGGCTCTGTAAGCTGCTGATTGACAGCGGTAGGCGGGACTTCCTGCGGACCAGAGGCTTCAGCAGTCGTCTGATTGGCTACATAGACGCAGAGGTGACCTTGGAGAACGTTCTGCTGACCGCCCTGCCCTCGTCCTGATGGACTTTCCCGGTTCTGGCCTGGTTCACGCCCTGCTGGACCGGACCTGTTAGGTTCTGGTTCCTGTCCAGAACCAGCAGCTGTAATAAAAGCGTCAGTCTGTGGATCAGAATCCGTTTATTAAAGTCAAACTTGATCAGCTCCAGTTTCTGGTTTCAATTCTGTCTCTTGATCCAAACTGGGTTCTGGTTCTGATCCGGTTCACCGGAATCAGGCAGTAGAGGGACCAAGCTGAACCGGGTCATGTCTGGGCTGGTCTTCATCCGTCTCTGAAAGGTCCATAACAGAAAAACATCAAAACCTTGGTCAGAACCCTCCGGCCCGGTTAGTGGTACCATTAGACCGTGATCAACATGGAGGTTAATGTTTGGGTCAGAGGGTTCCATTAATCCAGTTAGTGGGTCAGGTTCTGCCGTGGTGACCCGGTTACAGCTGAAGACCAGTTTACTAGTAAGGGTTAGAGTCCAGAACCAGCAGTACCATCAGAACCAGCAGTACTAACGGTGGAGGCGGTGCGCACTCAGCACGGCGTAGTTTCTCTTCCGGGCCTCCTGGATGTAGGTGAGCATGAAGTCCCGTCCAAACATCTCCCGGTCGTCTTCCCCGTCCTCCGTCCTCAGAGGCAGAGACACGTCCACAATCAGAGGGTTGTCCCGGAAATTCACAAACCTGTCCACAAGAGACGGCGCAGAATCGGTCCATGAGACCGAGACATGAGAGACCAACCTGAGACTGACGCACTGAAGATTGCCCAACTTGGACAGTCTGTCCTGTGGTTGGACAGTCTGTCTAATCCTGAGTTACCGTCTACATTCTGTAAGAGAGTAAAATCATTAACTTCTGGTTCGTTTTATTCTCTCGTCCTCCCGGATTCAGTGATTCCATGAGTGGAAACAAAAGCCACACAGAGATAATCAACGCTCCACGTCGTACATTTACATAGGCACAATTATTTCAGATATTTGCAGATCAGACACTGGATTAAGAGCCAAACAGAGATATTTCCAAATAAACCAGAGGAAACTCTCCTGAAACATGTTGATTAGATACTAAACGTACAAAAGGACTTATTTCTTGTGTTTACAAATTGTTCTTGATTACTCACCAGTTTATGACACCAAAAAAATCTAAATGGGAGTCAGATTCCAAATACGATGACAAAAACTGGAGCAGATTACTAAATTCATATCAAATTCAATTTAATATTTTACACTGCATATATTATACCCCATACAGGTTGAATAAACTGAATGCCAACATCACTGCCAAATGTCAAAGGTGTAAAATGTGTGTAGTGGATCTTCATGTGCTTTGGAGCTGCATACACTGGAAAACCTACTGGAATAATGTAACTCAGACAACAGCAGCAGTTTGTGAGCTTTCTGCAGATGCTGACCTCAGGATTTGGATACTTGGAGATGTTATGTCCTTGAAATTATATCCTTGCAAGAAATACTCTGTTTTGTTAGCATCATCTGCAGCAAAAAAGTGTATATTTAAAAATTGGAAATCTGTGGAACCTCCAAACCAGAAACATTGGATCAACAAACTGTTGTCATGCTGTACTCCTGAAACATGTTTTCACTCGATACGGGGACATTGGCTAAGTTCAGCCGGATTTGGACTCTCTTTCTGGACCTTCTAACCAGATTAGGTCTGAGAGACTGACTTGTATTGATCTTTACTGTCTTATTTCAATTCTTATCTTTTTTTATTATTATTTTTATTCAATATTTTTGTTGAATTTCTTTCCTCTTGACTCTGGCCTTTCAAAAATATGTGAAGTGTTAAATATATTACTGCATCTGTTTTCACATGGACAGAGTGAGTGGGTTTTATTTTTGAAGTGTTTTCACAACAAAAGAAGGTAGTATTGTACACTTGATGTAGATTTTGTATGGCTGAACCTTCTGAATAAAAATATCTATACAAAAAAAAAAACGTATAAAATCACACCAACAACACAGACACACTAAAACAGACATTCATTTACCTGAGACATAGAAAAGAAGAAGAAAAAAAGGGAAAGATGTGTTTTTGGAGAGTTGCTGATGCAAAAGCAAAAACATCAATCTGATTTGTTACTCCTGTGTACAAAGGTTTATAGTAAAGGTGTGATTTTCTCTTTAATATATTCAAATAAGGCGTATCTCTGCTTGTCCAACTGGAAGCTGTCTCAAACTTTCTTTTAAGTTGTATCCGGCCTCAGCAAATTCTGAGAGCAACTGTCCCTTTCTAAACAAAGAACAGAGTTCCTCATGAACTGTCCTGAACTCCTGCTGTTTTATGGCTTTCTGAGCAGAGGAAAACAGAGATGGGCATTTCTCAGATATTTGTGAAACTGGAATCTGTCCCGTTTTCTCCCTACTCAGATACCTCAAAGAGAAACTTAAATCCTGTAGGAAGTTGAAGTAAATATTATCTCCAGACCTAATTTGTTCTCCTGTCATTCAGCACTTTAAAAGATTGACTCTTGCTGTAAACTAAAAGTAACACAAAGGTCAGCAGAATGAGGTGAAACTCCTTTTTCTAACCTATCAAATGAAAGAATCAATCCTGAGTATAAGAATTAACACAATCATTTTCCAAGAACCTTTCACTATAAACTTGAGCAATTTTCAAATACTAAACAAAACATTTTCTTTCACATATTTTCGATGTGAAAATATCTGCTAGTTGATTCTGATAAACTAGCAGATATTACAATGTCACAATGAATTAGTCACTAACTAAAATTATTAATTCTAAAACTATGATTAGACCAGAGGTTCCCAAACTCTGGGGCGCGCCCCCTAGGGGCGATGAAAAAAAAACATGATCGCTGTATGCGCTGGGTTTTTACCTTAGAATGGCCAACTCTCTGTTATTCCTCTGTCAGTTTGATACAGTCGGGGCTTCCACACTCCCATATCTGTGTCCTCTGTTACTTTTATCAGCAGTTAAAACTGTTGAATCCGTTGTTAACATGTGGTAACCTGTTTTTCCGAGCCGATTTTAAACGCAACATGAGCGCTACC